TAGGTTTTCACCCCAATATCTGACTCTTGAGTATTGGTAAATAGAATGATAGAGACTTAGTTAAAACCTACATTTGGTAGCCATGACTGAGCCAGTGCTACCATTGGCGGGATTGGAAATTCCACCAGGCTGAGATCTGAGCCTCTGGGTGCTGACTGAAGGGCCATGGGGTGCTGACAGTTGTTAAAATATCAATAGATTCAGGTGTGGCTGCTAAGACAACAGAAAAACTTGGTAGTTAGGAACTCTTGTTACTCTTCCAGAGGACCCAGGCTTGATTCCTAGCAACCAAACAGCGGCTAAAAATGGTCTGTAACTCCAGTTCCAGAGGATCTGATGCCCTCTTCTGGCTTCCACATGCACTGCACTACAAATGAATAAATCTTTAAAAATCTATAACCCTCCAAATGTAATTAACAATTAACAAATGTAATCTATGGCACATAACTAAGGCAGTAAGTGAAAATATAGCTTGTAATATGGAATACTGATAAATATGAAAGAATAAAATTAAATGAGTCAGGTATGTGTTGGTTTGAATGCAATTGGCCCCCATGATCTCATAGGGAATGGTATTATTAGGTGGTGTGGCTTTGTTGGAGTTGGTATGGCCTTGTTGGAGGAAGTGTGTCACTGTGGGGGTGGGCTTTGAGGTTTCTGATGCTCAGGATGCTGGCCAGTGTCTCAGTTGACTTCCTGTTGCCTGCAAGATGGGGCACTCAACTACTTCTCCAGCCCCATGTCTGCCTGCATGCTGCCATGCTCCCTGCCATGGTGATAAACCTCTGAAACTGTAAGCCGGCCCCAGTTAACTGTTTTTATCATAGGAGTTGCCGTAGTCATGGTGTCTCTTCACAGCAAGAGAAACCTTAACTAAGAGAGGTAGCACTTTCTTTTTATTTTTTAAATTCTAGCACTTAGAAAGCAGAAGCAGGTCAATCTCTGAATTCAAGGCCAGCCTGGTCTACAGAGTGAGTTCCAGGACAGCCAGGGCTACAGAGAGAAACTCTGTCTCAGAGGAGGGAGGGAGGGAGAGAGAGAGAGAGAGAGAGAGAGAGAGCGCTCATTCTCATTGCGTGCTAAACGAAACATGATTCCTGCCTTCTCTCTGGCATATCTGAATTTCTGCCAGCATTATTCTCTGAATAGGGACCATTATTTAGTGAAATGCAGGTTCCTTGAAAACAAACTCCATGAATCCACGATGGTTGATCTGATAACCAAGATGGTCATTAAGATACCAATGGGTGACCGGAAAGATGGCTCAGAGGTTAAGAGTGTGTGCTGCTCTTGCAGTAGCCCAGAGTTCAGTTTCCAGCTCCCACAGAGGATGGCTCACAACGGTAACTCTATCTCCAGGCCCGCCTCTGGTCTTCACAGGCACATGCGCACAAATGTGCATACATAGAAATAAAAAAGAGAGAGGAGTGAGTGGGTAGCATGCAGGAACCCTGTCCTGGCAGGGTCGGGGTTCAGTGGCTAGAAGTGAGCATGCTACCCAGGTTAGTTCACTGTTTTAAAGTTTGACTTTATAAAAAAATTATATTTAATATTTTCAGCTTTGGTTGGCTGTTAGTAACTGATAAAATGAAAAGAGAAACCAAGATAAAGGGGAATTACTATAATGTAATATGAGCATCTTTTTACTTATATTTTATTTTTAATTATGCACGTGTGTGTGTGCGTGTGTATAGTGTATACATGTGTGTGCACACAGGAATGCAGCTGTCTGTGGAGGTCAGTAGAGGGCATCAAATTCCTTGGAGTTGGAGTTATAGAGATGCGTAAGTTGTCTGATCTGGGCCCTGGGAACCACATGCAGGTCTTTGCAATAGCAGTAAGTGCTTTTAACCACTGAGCCATCTCTCCAGTCCCAGAGTTCCCTCTTTTAAAGATTCACTTCAGTGACTGTTTATACTCAGGCCAGAGATATGGCTCAGTGAGTGCAGGGACCTGATGCCTACCCTGAGGATTTGAGTTTGAATCCCAGGACCCACACAGCGGAAAGAGAGAACCAACAGCAAGCTGTTGTCTGACCTCAGTGCATTCTCTCTCTCTCTCTCTCTCTCTCTCTCTCTCTCTCCCTTTCTCTCTTACATAAGCATACTATATAAATGAGTAAAATGTAACACAATTTAAAAAGAAATAGAAGATACTCTAGCAACTTGAATGGGTGCATGTGACCAGTTAAGGCTCCATTCACTGCTGCTGAAGCAGTCCAGATATGAGACATAGGCTGATATGGTACAGCACGCATGAAAAACAAAACAGCTGGATGTTCGCTGTATCTTTGAAGCTTACTGATGGATTGGACACGGGACATTCAAGGGTGACTCTGAATGCTTTGGTATGAACAACTGATGGTGCCATCGATTCAGACAGGGACGGGTGGGGAGGAGCAGGTTTTGAGGGGAAACATGGGAGTTCCCTTTCTGCTGAGTCAAACTCAGGACACCAGACAGGTTGTCGAATGCAGCTGTGAAGCTAACAGCTTAGATAGGAATTTCGATTTTTCCAGTAAGACCAGAGCAACATTTTGGTGTGTGGAGATTTTGGACCCCTTGGAATTATGTGACATATAACCTGGTGTGGTACAGAAACTGGGGTGTAGTGGAGTTGGCAGCGTCCTCCTAACGTATAGAAAGCCCTGGTTTGCCGGGCGATGGTGGCGCACGCCTTTAATCCCAGCACTTGGGAGGCAGAGGCAGGCGGATCTCTGTGAGTTCGAGGCCAGCCTGGTCTACAGAGCTAGTTCCAGGACAGGCTCCAAAAGCCACAGAGAAACCCTGTCTCGAAAAACCAAAACCAAACAAACAAAAAAAAAAAAACAAAAACAAAAAAAAAGAAAGCCCTGGTTTGATCCTCACAGCACGTTACAGAGAGTGAATGACTTCAAGGTCATTCTTGGAAGTGTACTGTATAGGAGGCCAGCCTGGGCTAACATGAGACCCTTTATGTTCCGTACCCGTCCCCAACAACTCTTTCTCCCTCAGTCACAAAACAGAAGTCTAGAACCAGCCAGTCTGATTTTTGGCATATGGATGATAGCTTTTTCCAATACGGAAAAGATAACTAATGCTTTCCCTAATACACTGGATCTATCATGGTAGGCTTGCTTGAGTCTCTACCATTTATTTATGAAGTGCACAGCTGGGGCTGCAGAAGCAGCTCAGCTGTTAACAGAGCTTAGCTGTCCCTTCAGAGACCTGAGTTCAGTTCCCAGCACCATGGGGTGCAGCTCATAACCACTTAGCCCCAGCTGAAGGGGATCCTATGTCCTCTTCTGGCCTGCTTGGGCACCTGTATGCACACGGGCATACCCACAGACACACACATATATACATACGATTAAAAATAAAATAAACGTACTTGGAAGGCAGAGGCAGGCAGATTTCTGTGAGTTCGAGGTCAGGCTGGTCTTGTGAGTTCCAGAACAGCCAGTGATACCCTGTCTCAAGAATACCACCACCATGACATGGCTACCATGACTAATCATCATCATAATCATAATAAAATAAATTGTGGGACTGGAGCGATGACTCAGCGGTTAAGAGCACATGTTGCTCTTACAGAGGACTCACGTTCAGTTTCTACCACCCATAAGCTTGCTCACAACCATTTCTAGTTCCAGTTCCAGGGGCTCTGACGCTTGCCTTCTTCTAAACTAGCAGTAGGCATACACAGGGTACATACACATACACCCAGGCAAACACACAAAATAAAATAAGTAAAAAAAGGAAAGTCACAGAAGGATGGAGGATAGCTTGAGGTCATCTGGCGTTTACACAGGCAGAGGAAAAAGACAAAACAAAAGGGGCAAAGGCGGCCAGATGTGGGCAGGGCAGGTCGTGGTCTTAGCAACTTGGGAGGCTGAGAATCCCCGACTCAGAGACAAAGCCACAGTAGTGACAACCTACACAAACCTTGGAGTTTTTCTAACGCTGTCACTTTCATAAGGCGAAACTGAAGTTCAGACAGTTGAAAGGACCCAGACTCCTTGGTGCCACCTTTCTCCCCGCTGCCCTTGCCAGGACTAACCGTGGCAGGTATCTGAGGTCTCCACCGCAGCCTTTTCTTTGAGCTGTGACCAGCTTTCCCAGGCTAGCTGGGAGCCCTGCTACCCACACAAGCTCTGGTTGTGTAATAAGGAATGTGTAATCTGAAATGGAGGAACCTGCTCTGTGTGTGTGTGTGTGTGTGTGTGTGTACGTGAAAAGAGCAGAGACGTGCATTTTCTGGATAATCCTGAAATGGGTGGGAGGACCGTTGCAGGTAACCCTGGAAAGGGGAGACGGAGGAGGTGGGACAACTCCTGAGGACCCCTGAGGAAGCAGGTCGCCAACAGCTCTTTCCCACCTGCAGCTGCTCTGTGGGTCTTCCTCTGCTTGGAGATAGCTCTCTGTGTGTTCTGGGGGACTGCTGCCAATTCAGGCTTCTGCTTTTTTCTGCCAGTTAATTAGTCCATCAATAAAGATGCGCGGGAGCTGGAGGACAGAATTGTCCGGGCTATGGGGTCCGGGGGCTACCCACTCATTCAGGGGTCTCAGAGGAGTATGCATTCCGCAGCGTGGGCGCCACAGTTTGGGGTCGGCATCAAGGAGGATGGCTATGGGCTGTCCCAAGTCCGCAGCCAAGTGGGCCGCAGTCCAATCCCACCAGCTCCGAGCGCGCGCCCTGCCTGTCCCTAGAGCCTGTGCAGCACGCGCACTGCCTCCCGAGGGCGCGGGCTGGGGGCGGAGCCTCGGTGTTGTTGTTCCTCTCCGGCCCCGCCCCAGAGGGGGGCGCGGACCACGCGGCCGGAGGGCCCGCCTCCCCTCCCCCTCCCCGCCCAGCTTGCCCGCCTCTTTGTATCCAACATCCGGGTTTCCCCGCTGGCTCGGCTCCGTGGCCACCGCTCAGGAGCCATTTTGGACTCGGTTCAGCTCCCCTCCCCCACCCCCCGTTCATGGCCCCTCCGGACTCGGCCCCTGCGCCCGGGGCCCGGACCCAGCCCCGTTGCGCCATGCCCGCGTCGGGCGCGCCCTGGCCCGCGCCCCGCCGCCGCCCCCCGGCCCCCGCGTCGCCCCATAGCCCGGGCCGCACTGCGAGCCGCCCGCAGCGGCCCTGAGCCCCTATCCCTGCACGCTGCCTGGGAACCGAAGCGCAGAAGCGAGCGCGCCTGGAAGCGAGACCCAGAGAAGGAGCGGGAAGCAGAGCGCAGCCGCCGCCGGGCCCTGCGCGCCCCGGGAGCGCAGCGCGGCCCTGCCCGCGGGCTCCGGGTGTCCGCGGGGCGGCGCCGCGGAACATGACGGCGCCCTGGGCGGCCCTCGCCCTTCTCTGGGGATCGCTGTGCGCCGGTAAGGACCCGGCGCGGCGCGGGGGTGCGGGGACCCGGGGCGCGCGGTGTTTACCAACAAAGGGCGGCCCCGCGGCCTCGGCTCTGCGCCACCTGCCTGGGATTCGGGGTTGCGCGGGGAGCTTGGCTCGCGGAGGCGCTCGGGGATGGGGAAACCTGGAGCGTCAGGGTCGGGGTTCAGGTTCCGCGGGCTCGCGGACCCCAGGAACCAAGCGAGGGAAACCTGAGCGTGGGGAAAGCGGCCAGGGTGGCCGGGCATCTAATCGCGGGTGGCTGGGATGAGGCTGCTCGCCCCTGAGAGGCAGTGTCGCAAAGCAAAGCGGACGGCTTTTTACAGCCTGTTCGGAGCCCTCTGCACTCCGTCCCGTCACTCTGCGTCGCGATCCTCTTGCAAGTGGCTCCTACCTGCACCCGCTTTCCTTGCAGCGGGCTACAGATGCGCCCTCGTGGGACCGCTTTTGTTTTGGGCTACTGGGAGTGGAGAGGAGGTTGAGGAGGCGAACCAACAGGTCTCAGGTCGCTCCGGCTGGCACGTGGCGGGCGTGAGTGACCTGCGCTCAGCCCGCAGGCGGCTGCGGGATGAGGGTGACTGGTGCGCGTCTGCTTGGGAACGGGACGTGTGGGTGTGTGCGCGCGAAGTTGTGCTGGGAAAGCGCTTTCGCCCCTAAAGCTCAGGCACGGATTTCTCTGTCCCGGTGGTGCTGAAGTATGCCCAACTCTGGTAGGAGCTCCCGGACGGGCTTGGGGCAGTCCTGGGAAACGCGGACAGTCGGGCATTGAGACTCCAGAGAAAAGAAAGTGGTGACTGGGACGGCTGGTGCTCGGTGGCCGGGGCTTTGGGTCCTGCGCGTCTTTGTTCCCAACCCCCATTACACATGCAGCTCGGGTCCCCTGCCGCCCGAGGTGGCAGCAGCGCGGAGTCTGGGAAATCCGCGAGGGGCGGGGCCCGGAGTGCAGGGGAGGGGCTGGGATCCCCCCCCCCCATGCTGTTGCGGGGGTGGGTATCCCAGATGGCCATTGCACTCTCCACTGGGATCCCCACCCTCAATCTGCTCCCTTCTATTGCAAGGTAGTGAGGCTTAGCAATTAATTCCGACCCTGAGAGTTTTTGCACGAATCTGGGTGCGGTGGAGCGTGAGTGCACGAGCCAGAGGCTAGAGACCACTTCTTGACTACCGGAGCACACTGTTGGGAAGCGGTTTCGATGCTGTGCTGGAGTGATCGAGGCGAAGCAAGCGGTGTCTCAAGTTGAACATTGTTTCTTTCTGCCATTCACTGAAGTGTTGCTCTTCAGGATTTCCCCAAGAGTGGAGGCTTGGAAGTGACGGAAAACATTGCCTGCTTTGGGGAGGACTGATCCAAGGGTACATAGCAATCCCCTAGCTGCTTCAGAAAGCTTCCTGATCTGCCTTGTCCCTTTCAAGTCCAGGCCTGTTGAAAGGGTGCTCTCAGGACAGTGCACCTCAGACTCTGAATCCGGACAACACGACACCAGTTAGTCCCAGTTTGAGTTCATCAGTTACCTCCCATCTTGGGGCAGGGTGAGAGGTGGTCCCCTGCGCTGTGTCTACTTTCTCTTTGCACTGTTTGGCGAGTGAGTGTGTAGCAGAATGCCGAGAGGCATTTGTTCTGTGTCAGAACCTGGCCTCCTCCCCCGGGGAAGGTAGAGTCACCTGTTGTCACACTTCAAAGTGGCCACTGCTCTGTCTTTTGAGGAATTAGAGGAGAGCTTCCCCAGGTCCTGGTGGGGCAGAACTGGCCCTCCTGGCTTCAAAACGGTCTCTCCTTCATGTTCCTGGCTCTGTCTTCAGAATGATCAACCCTGTGGTGTAAAGAAGAGCGCTATACTCGTGCTGCTCGCAAGGGCCTAGGAACATGGACAGGTATATTTAAGTTAAAAATTCCCAATAATCGCATTAGTAAAAGGAAGAAGAAATAGTTGTGTCTTAGTGTGTTCTGGCTTCCCTAATACCACAGGACTCTGTGATTCAAGCAGCAGTATTGGGGCTAGAGAGGTAGCCGGGTGGTTAAGGGTGCTTGCTGCTATTGCAGAGTCCTGACACCCACATGGTGACTCATGACAACCACCCGGGACCCCTCTTCCAGCAGGGACCCATGCTCTCTGGCCTCTGAGAGCATCAGGCTACACATGGTGCACAGACATAACTACAGAGGTAACTCATAAATAAAGTTAAAACAGCCTTGTAGATATAGATATATATGCTTACATATGTAATTAAAAGTCAACAGTGCTCGTTCTCACTTGGTTCTAGAATCCAGACTGGGGTGCTGGGATGGTCGGGTCTGCCCTAAGAGTTGTAGTCCTACAGTGAGGGTTCCACCCTCATGGTCCAGCCCAAACGTTACTGCTTCCTCAAGGTCCCATTACTGGTGGTTATGGCTTTCTATATGAATTTGGGGGTAGAGACTTGATCTTTTTCATAGTTGGTGGAATTAATTTAATTTAAAAATTGATCATTTCAACATGCAATCACCATTAAAACAGTTAAAGAGACTTGAAAGATTTCTTTAACTTCAAAATACAGTGTGAGCACGCCGGTTCCACGTTTGCACACCCCAGGCTCTCTGTAGTCACACTCGGCTAGTCGCTGCTGTATCGGACAGCACAGGCTGAGAGGGAAGACAGAAGTGATGTTTCAACCAGCGGATACCTCTGGAAGCCTTCCTGGCTCTGCCTGGCCCCTCCATCCTTGGGTGCCCGGCATTTGGCTCTTGCATTGCAGGGAACATTGCACATTCTGTTCTCGACATCTGTTTCTGTGTTTGGGGCTCAGAGCATAGCCGGAGCCAGGGGCTGAGAAGGCTCCTATCAGGTCCTCACTGCCCCAAAGCATCCTTATAGACTGACCATTGACACAGAGAGATTTCTTTCTCGGCCATTTCCTCGTGGGTGGAGGTTTGTATGAGGGAGTAACCTTTAGTCTTCTGGTCCCTGTAGTGGGAGAGGCCAAGGCCAAGGGCTACAGAGTCATGGAAGTCCCTCCCCAGAGAGGAAGTCCCCTGTTCTCTGTCTTGTTGGTGGTCATTTCATGCTGCCTGCCTATCAGGCGGGCACGCCCTTTGGAAGGAGTGGGTGCCCTTCTCAGCCTTCAGAGGCTTTCCATGCAGACCCTGTAGCTGGGTGGAAACTTCACGTAGACCCCTTTGCCTGCGACCTATCTAGGTGGACTTTTGTAGTCCTCTGCTGTTCTTCTTGGCACCCAGAGACCTACAAGCCTCTGCCCTTGCCCTGGCAGTTACCCAAGGGAGCCCCTGGAGGACCCGTTGCTTTTTGCCATGTTGCTCTGAGAATCTAAGAAAACTGAAGAGAAAATATAAACCAGTGCCTGCATGGGTATTTGTACAGGTGTATGTGCGTGCCTTTCTGGACTCCGTAAAATCCTGACTCCCCCGCAGTCAACCCTCCCAAGGGGCAGAGGGGCAGCCTGTCCGTAGGAGGTTGTGTACCTTGGAATTATTTCTCTCAGTACCTCTGCTTCCCCTGTTCCGGTCTGGAACATGTCCTTGCATTTACTGCTGCTACTCGTGGTTCTGCCCATCACTCTATTTCCTTGGTTTCTTCTCCATTCAGGAAGCCATCTCTCTGAGTGCCTATGTACTTAGCCTCTCTACTTGGGAGGTCAGTAGGGCAGATGGGACCTACCCACGGGGTATCAGAGCCTGAGTTCAGAGCCACTCACAGATGCTAACCTGTTGCCATGGCCTGGGATGCAGTGGATGAAGGGAAAAGAGCTAATCTGGACCATGACGGACCATTCATAGTTATCCATACCCCAGGCTTGTGTGTGTGTGTCTGTGTGTGCGTGTGTGCTCGTGCACACGTGTAGGTGTATGCCTGTGCACGTGGGTGCACGTCAAGGCCAGAGGTCACCATTAACTTTTTTTTTTTTTTTTTTTGGTTTTTCGAGACAGGGTTTCTCTGTGGCTTTGGAGCCTGTCCTGGAACTAGCTCTGTAGACCAGGCTGGTCTCGAACTCACAGAGATCCGCCTGCCTCTGCCTCCCGAGTGCTGGGATTAAAGGCGTGCGCCACCACCGCCCGGCTTCACCATTAACTTCTTTTACATTACTCCTCCCCTTGTTTTTTTCTGTCTTTTAAAAGCATTTTGTTTTAGTTTGTGGGCATGTGCCACAGCTCAGTGCGTATGTGGAGGTCAGAGGATAACTTGTGGAACTTGGTTCTCCACAGCGGGTCCTGGGACTCATACTCCGGGTGCTGGGCTTCGCAGCAGGCAAGCTTTTCTGCAGAGACATTTCACTGGTTGGTCCCTTCTTCATTTTTGAGATCTGAGATCTCTCTAACCCTGGAACTCACCCTTAAAGCTAGGATTACAGATGCTTGCTACACTGCCTGGCTTTTTATGGGATGCTGGGTATCCAGATGGTCCTTGTGCCTGTATGGCATGCATTACCAGCTGAGTTGTCTCCCAGTCCCCTAGACCACACTTAGGAGGCAGCCTGGATGGACATTCCTGGCTGCATGGGCCTCTCTAGAGCAGGGTTTCCCAGCCTTGCTCACCATGAACATCTGTTATCTGTGGTTTCTCTGTTTACATGGGGAGGGATGGGGACAGTGGAGGTGAACGGCTGGCCCGTACATTGAAGATGCCTACTTAGCTGCATCTCTGGCCTCTGCTGGCCAATTCCAGTATCGCATCTCTGAACATGGCAAGTGAAAATGACTCCGGGCATCGCTAAGTGGTAGGGACAAAATCATACTTAGGTCAGTGGAGAACCAGTGCTCTAGTACGTCCAGCTTCTATGGGGGTAAACAGTTGTGGGAGGAGATGGGGTTCTGGTTCAACAGTGCCATTTGTCATTCTCCCTCTGGAGTCAGGGAAGGAGCTGGGTTCACCCTCATAGGCCATTCCTGCCCAGCCGAGCCTGTTTGAGTGTGCATTTGGTTCAGAATCAATGGTTCCAACGGACCGGCTGCCACTAAGGAGAATCCTGGCGTCCTTGAGTTTTCCCAGAAGTGGTT